AAACAAAATAAAATGTAAATATACATATTCTTTGGAAGTCCTTTCAACTTAAAAGATAAACAATAATATTACCAATAAAACCATAAAATGAGAACAATTCCTATCAACAGTTAATTTGATGGTAACAACAATCATTCGTTTTATTCACTTTTCATTATGAGGATTGCAGGACTAATTCTGGGTTTAGAAGAGAATTTCTGTGATACTCTGAAATAAAAATAAAWGTTTTAAAGCTACTGATTGTTGCAAACAACATTTACAACCATTTTCTCTCTAAATTAAATAAAGCTGAGTTTTTCAGATAAAACAGTTCAGCTTAATATCATTTTACAACAGGAGCAGTAACTCATTTTAAACTATAAATTAACATGTAATTTTTACGATTTTTAAACATGATTAGACTGTTTTAAGTGCATTAGATGAAAAGTACTAATGTGTTTAAGTACCTGGAGTAAACCATGTGAAGCCACGAGTCGTAAAGAAGAGAGAGCAGCAGGGTGGAGAGGACGGACWCAGTGAAAGGGAAGAGACACCTCAGGTTTGGAGACAAAGGCTGCGTCTCAATTTATGGGTTGCAGTCAACGTTACAAGGAAACAAACAAAAAGCATTAATAATTTGGGTTTAGCTGCAGTATTTTCACTTGTAACTGCATTTTATTTAACATCTCATTGCAACAAAAGTTTCTTCAGCTAAGTTGTTTTACATTTTTTGGTCTGCAAAGTCCATCATTAAAAAAAAACACGGCTGTAAAATTAATTAAAAAAAACTTTGCTGTCTTTGTTTTTCAGTTTAATTTGCTAACGAAGCAATGAATTCTGGGATATTGTCAGTCACGTGGGATACTCGGACGCAGCTGACATTTTCGAGGTCTTGTCGGCCGCATGTGAAGCTGACGTCTGCTGCAACCCATGAACTGAGACAGTCAAAGTTAGAATGGCTGAGATGTTGTGGACACGTGCAGAGGAGACCAGGAGGTTCATGGATGGAGCAAAGGAGGATGGCTAAGGGTTGGTGGGACAGAGGAGGAGGATGGGAGATGGGTGCAGTTGATGTTTAAGTACTTCAAGTCTTGCGTGTTTGTGTCCTCTGCTCTTTGTAGCCTCACTTCTTCACCTGCCTCCCTCTTATTCACACACAAGTACATTCTTCCACCTCTCCAAGTTCTCTTCCACCTGTTCCCTGTTCTCACCACAGATCAYAATGTCATCTGCAAACATCAGACCACGAGGGTTCCTGCCTGACCTCATGTATTAGCCCATTGGTTCCCAACCCTGGCCCTCAAGGACTCATATCCTTCATGTTTAACTTGTTTACATGTTTTAGATGTTTCCTTGCTTTGACACACCTGATTGAATGAACGAGTGATTAAAAATCTTCTGAAGACCTGCTAAATAGCAGGGAAACAAGTAAAACATGAAGGGGTCCTTGAGGATCAGGGTTGGGAACCACTGTATAAGCATGTCCATCATCAGAGCAAACAAGGAGGGGCTCAGAGTAGAGCTGGGCGGTATGACACAAATTTTATGTCACTGTATTTTCAACAATTACACCGGTTTCACGGTATTTGACGGTGTTATGGTAAATATTTATTTAACAAAGCCAGAAATACGTGGTCCAAGAATGAAGGTACTCCGTGGGATGATCAGCTGAGTTTTATTGCAACAACAGGAAACACAGAGAACCTGGCCTGTCGCTGTGCCTCTGCATGTCATGAAAACCTAGGTCATTAAAGGATGTCATGAATTACTTGCTTAAACATAAAAGTATTAGATCCACTACAGACGGTAATTCTTTTTCATCACAGCTCAGCTGATAATAAAATGTACAAATGTTGCTTATTGACTTTTTTCTTTTACTGTACCTCTGTGTCTCTGTTTCCCTCCTCTTGTACGTCTTTTCTTCTTTGCCTGATGGTAGACAGTAATCATGCATTTTGGTCTGATCGTGAAGGTTTGAGAAGAGATCCTTATCGGGTCGATCGTTGTGTGGTAATAAAACTTAAAAGGACGACTCACCTTGCACACCAGTCAACTCCGCTCTACTACAAAACTACTTCCTCCGGGCTTTTCACAACAGAAGCACGATAGTCTCCATCCGTTAACGTCTCCATTATAATGCTGCGCATTTAATCCGTGCACGTCACTGAACAGTTGTTCACTACATTCAGCGATGGTGAAAACGGGATGTTTTTTTTTACTTCAGTCAATATAAGCAGCTGAAACACMACCCGCCGCCAGTTACTCCAACAATAACATTAGCATGTTAATGCACATAGCATTAGCGAGGAAAAGTGTCCCCCGGGAAGCAGTTCACTGGCAGCCGTGACGAAATGTTCCAAACGTGTTCAGGCTATTTAAACCGGTATGTCCGTTATTTAGAAGATTCCTGTCATAACAAAAATAAAAACTGGTTTTCGGTACAAAACGGTACACCACCCAGCACTAGCTCAGAGCCAAACCCACCTCCACCTGGAAGTTGTCACTCCTACAGCAYATCTCACCACTGTCCTCCACTACAGCTGTCCTCATAAATCATCAAAGACACAATGAAGTTCTTTCAGACACTCTCTATTCTTACCCATCAGCAACCTCAAAGCAAATAAGGCATCTCTGGTAGCAAGAAAACATCTACAAACTAAATGTCCATGACCAGACCAGAACAAGGGCAAAATGTCTTTATTAGTGGATTCCAGTTAAAGTACTACAAGCCCCAACTGTTGCAAAAGTGCGGAGCCTTTGGTGTCATTTTCAGCTTAATCTTAGTCCACAAACATCAGATTTCATGTTAGATAAAACTTCCCTTTCCCTAAAGTGATTTCTCTCATAGTTCCGTATGAGAAACTTCAGTGAGAAGTGCGCTCTTCCACAGTCTCATGATGGGCCATCATGTGCGTTACAACATCAGCCTTATATTTGAATTTAAAACCACAGATATCACACCCAAAAGGCTGCTCACCTGAGTGAACAACCATGTGTCTCTTCAGAAACTCTTGCCGAGAAAATCTTCTGTTACAAATGCTACAACCAAATGGTTTCTCCCCACTATGGACCGTCATGTGCCTTTTAAGATCATAMTGAGTTTTAAACCTTTTTTCACAAATTCTGCATTGAAATGGTCTCTCTTCTGAGTGGACCCCCATGTGAGTTTCAAGATTTGACTCCGTTTGAAATCTTCTTCTGCACTTAGTACAAGCAAATGGTTTATCTACTGGTTTGACCTTGTTTTCAGATTTCTCTCCTGTGTGGACTTGCATGTGTTGTTTTACCTGCTTCTTCTCCAAAAAACTTTTACCACACTCACTACAACTAAATGGTTTATCACCCGTATGAACACCCATGTGTCTTCTCAGAGTTTCTTGTAGTGAAAATCGTTTACTACAAACACTACAAACAAACGGTTTCTCTCCAGTGTGGACACTGATGTGTCTTTTAAGGTCAAACTGAGTTTTAAATCCCTTTTCACAAAACCCACAGTAAAATGGTCTCTCTCCTGTGTGGACACTCGTGTGCTTTTTAAGATTGGACTTTTTATTAAATCCTCGACCGCAAACATCACAGACAAATGGTCTCTCTCCAGTGTGGATCCTCATGTGTACCTTGAGAGCCTTCTTTGCTAAAAATCCTTTCCCACAGAGATCACAGGTATGTGCTCTCTGTCCAGCGTGWGCGATCATGTGAGGTTTAAGATAGGACTTGCGTTTGAATCTTTTACCACACAGATCACAACCAAATGGCTTCTCTCCTGTGTGGACTCTATCATGATCTGTAAGATGGACTCGCTTTTTAAATCTTTTCCCACAAACATCACAAATGTAAGGTTTGCCACCAGTGTGAACGGATCGATGTGCTCTAAGATTTGATTTACAGGTGAAATTTTGTCCACAGTCACTACAGCTGAACTGGGTTCCTTTTTTAAATCTTTTTGTCTCCGAATCTACGTTTTGTTCCCCGTTGGTACCAGAACTACGTGTTCTGATCTGCTTCAGACCGTTACCACTCTTTTCAGTTCCAGTTTCAGGTTCAGAACCTGACAAAGGGCCCTGCCAATCAGGGTCATCATCGCTATCATCATCATCATTTTCATCTTCATCTTCATCATTATCATTTTCAGCAACATCATCATTATTTGTGTTATCGTTGCTTGCTTCAGTCTCAGAGGAGTCCGAAACCTTGTCTTTATTGTTTAGCCGAAAACGCCATCTTGGATCTGGGTTCCAGTCTGGTTCTGGTCTCCTGCGGTCCTCTCCACTGTGTTCTGTTTTTATCTGCTGAGCTGAGCTGCAGGTGGGGGGTTCTGCTTCTTGGCCGTATTCAGTTTTGACGTGACGAGGCTGTGACATGTGGGGTTCCTCTTCCTCATCTTCACTCTTCACAATAACAGTGAAGGGCAAGCTGCTGACGTCTGTCTCCTCTTTCTCCTCTTCTTCCTCGTCCTCCTCGTCCTCCTCTTCCTTCTCTTCTTCCTCCTCACTAAGCTGCTCTTCCTCCTGACTGCTCCGCAGCTCCTCCTCCTCCTTCTTTATGTGGAGCACTTCTGGGTCCTGCTGGTCCGGACTGGAGCTCCATTCATAATGAACCTCTTCTTTAATCACCAGCACCTGCTGAATAGGGAACACTGAAACACAGAACAACAATAAGAATTACTTTAGACTTTAGAAACAAGGAGGGCTGAAACGATTCCTCGAATAATTTGAGTAATTCGATTACAAAAAATCCTCGAGGCAAATTATCTGCCTCGAAGCTTCATAAAAAATACATATATATAATCAGCGCACTTTCGTCCGCCCGGAATATTATTTGTGTTACACAATGCTACGACGTTAGCTCTTCCGCTAACRGTTACACTGTCAACAAGTCACGCGTGTATGCTTGTTAAGCGCTATATTTAGCTTTAAACGAAGACGAAGAGTGCYGAAACGAAGCGCCCAGAAAACGACAAATTATAAAAAAACATGGAAACATTTAAAACTAAACAGAAGAAACGAGAACGCGCAATGAGCTTCACATCCTCGATGTTTCTGCACCGGAACAAATACAGCTGCTGCATGTACCGAACGCATCCGGAGTTAACAACAGGTATTTGTTTATGTTTCCTTTGCTAAATACGGTTACCTAAAACTGTGATAATCTGTCATGTTACAGATGTACAACGAGGAGGTATATTTAAGCTAATGTTATTTGTGCTGACTAATCATGGTGACTTGACAGGGTTTTATTAAACTGTGTGTAAATTGTGTGATTAAAAATTAGACTTACTGTAAGTTTGTCAGATAAAAATAAAAGCACAGCAACAGATCAACAGCTTGAGTTGAAACACGTTTATTTGCTGATATMCTTTTTAAATGAGATACTTGGAGTGAATATTTCAAGTTTAAAAGTATTTATAGAAGATAGTTGGATTTTTTTTAATTATTTGCTGCTGATTTTTATGACTTTAGCCTTCATTACTACTGCCATATTTTTTTGTAGCTAAGCAGTCAAAAATAAATCTGTTTTTGCCTAAATGGGAGCCCTGCACCAACCTAATAACAGTCTTAAAAATATATGATTTTTTTGTTACAATTAAACTCTACAAAACTCAATCGCAGCATGCAAATGTTTAAATTAGCCATTTTACTTATTAAAATTCTAACAAAAAAAGATATTCAGTTTTCCAATCAAAACAATAAATTTACAGCATTTAGATTTTTCTGTGATGGTTAAAATGATTCAGTGATAGAGTGCTTTCAATTAATGCCTCCTCAAACCTTACACACATAAATACAAGTAACTGGAGCTTAAAATGCATGAATTAATACAGCAGTTTTTTTTAAATTTTACTTTGATTGCAGGATCATCAGCAAATGTAGATTACCCCTTTAAAATATTAAATAATTGTATTTCTCATAAAATAAGCTTAAGTAATTACTGCAGAACATGACAATTTTTTTATCCGATTACTCAATTAATCGTCAGAATGATCAATAGATTAATCGATTACTAAAATAATCGTTAGCTGCAGCCCTAGAAACAAGTATCAAGAACAACGCTCCACATGAACAGGTCTCCCCATCATGCAAGACATATCTGTGGAGCTATAAGTTTTGTTCAAAATAAAAATGTTTTGAGACTGAAAAAATTTTTTAACTGAAAAAAATACTTAATTTGAAATTGAAACAAAAAATTGAAAAAAAAATGTAATGGCTTAATAATGGTCATTTAATGGGCTGACAACATTTGATTCCACGCATGTGGTTCCTGAATGCAACAGCTTGTCCAGCCCATGATGAGCCGTCAATCATGACTCTGCACCGCCTGTCATCCGAGGTCCCGCCCCCACGCCAAAACAGGGCCAAGGGTTGCAAAGGGTCAATATTTGCAAGTTTTTATAGTTAATGTGG